ACCATCGAAGTGAATGGAAGTGAACCACCAGAAAGAGAAGAGGACGCGATTGACAGCAATACGTGTAGCAGCACTTTTCCTGGCTGTGGGCAAGGGCTGTTTGGGGCGATACGCCTCTGCCACCATCTTTTCACCCTACCCTACATCAGCGATGGGTGAAAGCATGGCCTTGCCTTTTAAGGTGCTGGTGTCTTTAAGATCTGTTCATCTCTAGGCTCAGGGAGCAGGCCCTGCCCGGGCAGTGGGTTGGGCTGCCAGAGACCTGAGGGCTGAGGGGGAGGGGCAGGGATAAATGTGGTTCTGATCTGGGTGCAGGACACCGCCTGTGGTCCCCGGACCCAAGGGTTGGCGGCTGTGGCCTGGAGGATGAACTGAGGTGGGCCTTGGTGGAGGGGGGGGTAGGGCTTGAGGTGCAGACCCTGCCACCTCCTGGGGAAAGGCGTGGTGGGGGGAATGCAGCACAGCGGGGTGGGGCTGCGTGGTTAAGGCCGCCTTCCCCTGCTGGCTTCATCCTGGGAGCATCGGCTGCGAAGACGCTGGCCGGCGCCAGAGTTGCCCAGCTCTCCCATGCTTGGTCCAAGAGCTCAGGAGTGGACCCATCCCCGCCCTGAAAGATCCATTTTAAAAATCGGTGACCCTGGACTTCTGTCTTTGCACTTGGTTAAGACTTTATTCCTACTTTTATTTGATCGGCACCCAGCCCTGTGAGGCGGGCACTGCCATCACCCCCCATTTTATAGACAGAGGTCCCCATGGCTCCCTGTTGTGTCCAAGGTATGGGTGGCACCTCCAGGACCAGGTTCCTCACCCAGGTCCTTCTCTGAAGCCCAAGTCAGACCAGCCTGCACCGGGAACCCCCCGCTGCGCCCATGCTAACCTCAGCTGGCGCTTAGCTAGAGTGTGTTGGACCAGCCAGGGCAGCCATCGGCCCCCTTCCTGTGGGGCAGCAGGGAGGGACGTCAGCAGGGTGGGGCGGGCACCCGAGTGGTATGCTCCGCCCCGCGGCCCGCCCTGGTGGCCGTCTGGGGGCGACAAGTCCGGGGAGCACCAGACGGAAGCGCCGCTGGGACTGACACGTGGACTTGGGCGGTGCTGCTGGGTGAGTCCGGCTGGGCTGGGAAGCAGCCCCGGGACACCGCAGTGCCCACGCTGTCTGAGCGCCCAAGCCCTATCAGCCACCCCAAGACGAGGCCCGCAGGGACATGGCCGGGGACACCCAGTGGTCCAGGTATGGCAGAAGAGCGGGGGTGGGGGTGGGGGAGCTGTCGGTGGTGCTGGGAGGGAGCTGAGATGCTGGCCGTTGGGACCATGGTAGGTGGGGAGCGCTGAGCTGGGGCGGGCTCCTCTGGCTGCCGGGCCCCCTGTGCCCCTATGGGAGGTGGAAGGAAGTGAGTGCCCTGTCCTTCCTCCCTGCCATCAGACTCCAGGACCGGACCTGGCAAGTGCCCTATCCCAGCCGGTGGTCCTGAGGCTCTTCCAGGCAGGGCTATGTCCCCCAGGCCCGGAGCATTGTCCTGGACACTGAGGAGGTGTAGCCCCACCAGGTGGGACCACCCTGTGTATACATGAACCCAGCAGGCAGACCCTGGGACAGTCAGGAGGCCGGGTATAAGGACACAGGCTGGGGCCTGCAGCTGGATCAGGGGTCCGGCCATCACATGCCAGCTGTGTGCTGGGGACAAGCTCCCAGCTGGCCTCAGCCCTCAGAGCATTTGGTGGTGGGGAGAAGTGGGGCCTGGCCAGCAGCACTGCTGCCTGCAGGAGGCTCCCCGGGCAGGTGACGCCTCAGACGCCTGGCAGGATGGTGACTGCAGGCCATCGGCCAGCTGGGGAGAGCCTCTGTCAGAGAGCTCCTGAGAGCAGCCCCCACACTGCTGAACCCCCTTGCTCTGGGTCTGTGGGCTGAGGCCTCAAGTGGTTGAACCCTGGGCTTAGAGTCAGGCCCTGTGTGTTTCAGAGCCAGTGTCCTGCCCGCTCTGAGTCCCCAGGGTACCTGCCCTGACCATGGCAAGGTAATGGCACCTTCTGGCCCCACCAGTTCTCAGCTGTGTGAGGGCTGAGGACCCGGGAAGTGCTAAAGAGTGGCAGGAAGGCCCAAAGGGGCAGTGCCACCATCGGACGTCGGCGCCCACATGAAGGGAGTGCTGGCTGCGTGGGAAAAGCTGGCAGCCCAGAGCCCAGCCGGAGAGTCTTCCTGTCAGGCCCCAATTAGAAGGGAGGGCTGCCCTCCGCCCAGCCTGTCCCTGCTCTCTCTGCCCTCTTCCTTCTCCCCCACCCAGGCCTGCTGGGCGGGGCCAGCTCCCCAGGGCTTCAGGGCCGCCTCACTGGCGGCTGGGTTTCAGGGGCCCCGCCTCCCCGCCTTCCCTCCCGGGCTCGCTGTTTAAAAGGCAGCCCTCACCACAGCTCTTGCCACTTCCTTCGCAAGGCCTTATTGGGCAGCGCCAAGGTCTGCTGGGGCAAGAGCCCTCCCTCCTGCAGCCACCTCGGGAGGCTGGGCCGGGCGGGGACAGAGCTGGAGGGGCAGCACCCACACTCGAGCGTCTTCTCCTGGCCCGGCACCGGCAGTTCCCTTTTCTGAATCGAGGGGCCATGTGGCCACCTGTTTGCTCAGCCGTGGACGCGGCTTCTGCACAGGGGCCGATCGCCAGAAGCCGGAGGCTCTAGAGAGTTAAGTTCACAGGAAGCAGCCTGCTGGGCTTAGGGAGTGCCGACCGGTGGGAGGAAGGCGTTCATGCTGGTTCTCGGCACCCCCACCGGGATGGAGGATTCTTGGCCTGGGGTCCTAGTCTGCCCTCAGGCAGCCCTGGCTGTGTGGGTCTTCCTCTCCAGCCTGACTTCCTTGACTCCCAGAGGCTGTGGAGGGTACCCCTGTGCCCACCTGGCCAGCACCACCTGCCCGGCTCAGAGAAGGGGCTGTGGGGCCTCTCGGCCTCCACAGCCCAGGGAGGAGGAAGACAACCCTTCACCCCACACATTTGCGGGACCTCCCCGCTGGCCTGGGGCCACCTGCTGGCTTGCAGGAGACTGCTTGCCTAGAAGGGCTGTTCTTGACTTCCTCCTCCTGAGGAGGCCAGGGAGTGGCTCTGCGTTCTCAGCACTGTGTTGGCCTTGATTGGTGAGAATCAGTGCCACTGAGCTTCCTGCCATGTCTAACGGCCAGGCGGTGCAGGGCAGGGGCCGGCTGGACACAGGTGTCCCACCTCCCCCTGTTTATCAAGACAGAATCTCTGTCGCCCAGGCTGGAGTGCAATGGTGCAGTCTTGGCTCACTGCAATCTCTACCTCCTTGACCGCTCAAGTGATCCTCCCTTGGCCTCCCAGCTGGGACCACAGGTGCATACCACCACACCTGGCTAGTTTTTTTTTTTGAGGGGGGAATGGAGTCTCGCTCTGTCGCCCAGGCTGGAGTGTAATGGTTTGATCTCGGCTCACTGCAACCTCCACCTCCCAGGTTCAAGTGATTCTCCTGCCTCAGCCTCCCAAGGAGCTGGGATTGCCGTTGCCTGCCGCCACACCTGGCTATTTTTTGTATTTTTAGTAGAGACGGGGTTTTACCATGTGGGCCAGGCTGGTCTCTAACGCCTGACCTCAAGTGATCTGCCCACCTTGGCCTCCTCAAGTGCTGGGATTACAGGCATGAGCCACCATGCCCGGCCCTGGCTAATTTTTAAATTATCATTTTTTTGTAGAGACGGGGATCTCTTTATGTTTCCCAGGCTGGTCTTGAACTCTTGGGCTCAAGTGATCGGCTCACCTTGGCCTCCCCGAGTGCTGGGATTACAGGAATAAGCCACCACACCTAGCCCTAACTCTCCTTTTTAAAGGCAACTTTGGACTGTGTGGCTTTTAGCAGAAAGTTAAGGGCGGGGCCCCCATGTCCCTCCTGCAAGCCTTGTATGTTCAGTCAATGGAAACTGTTTACAGAGAGCCTGGGGCCCGATAAATAACAGGCATCAGCCATGCCTGGGCAGGGCGTGGAGGCCAGGGCCGTTCTGGGCTAGGCCGGCTGGCAGTGAGGACTGTGTCCCTCTGTGGTAAACCAGGGAGCAGACTTGGTCCTCAGACCCAGGCCACAGCCAGGTATGGGACAAGCCAGTTGTCCCTAGTGTGGAAGCTGGTCGCAAATGACGCTGGCGAAAGCACAGTGGCTGCCACGGCCCAGGACAGGCGGCGCTTTCTCCAAACTCCAGGGGTCATGGCTGACCCTGCTGCGGGGAGGGGCCTGGAGCAGGGACAGCCTCTGGCAGAGGAGAGGTGTCAGGACGCAGCTCTGGGCTTCTGGGCAGCCTGTTCTTGCCTCTGAGCTCTCTGGGCCTCCCTCTCCAGGCTTGGGAATGTGGGCTGGCCGGCCTGACTCTGTGACCTCAGGCACGGTCAGCGCCAGACTTGGTGGTCTCATCTCCCCTGGGAAGCGTCCAGGTGCAGGCTCGTGGAGAACACCAGGAGGGCTGGGTCCCTGCCCCTTGGTCCACGGCACACCCTCATCTACTCATCTCTGAAAGGTTCATAGGAGCACAGCCCTGGGCTGCAGCCGGCTCCCTGAAGGGGCAGGCGGGATCTTTTGGGAAGCGTGGGGTGAGACACTCCAGTATCCAACTCGCCTGCCGCCGTCTCCCGGCCACCCTCTGCCCTGTTCTCTTCGAGGCCCATGAGGCCCCCTCCTCCTGGACGCCTCCCGTCCCTGGCGATGCTGGCTCTTGGCTCCTGGCTGCAGCCTCCTCAGCTAACTCCTGCCATTCTCTTGGGTGACTTTGAAGTCCACAGCGGCACCCTGGCCTTCACCCTTGACCTTCTCCTCTCCTTGGCCTGCCACTCCTCAACCTTGCCCTTCATCAAGGCTTCCAGCACTAACACCTCCAACCTCTGGTTCGCTGGCCAGGACTGAGGCCCCAGGCTCAGAGCCCCAGCAGGACCCCTGGGTCAGCTTCCCCTCCCTACTGGCCGTGCGCAGACCCGGCCCACTGCGTTGACTCTGGTGCTGTGTTCGCATCCGTACCCGGCGTGTCCTCAGGACCAGCCCCACCCCACCCGCAGCTGTCCTGGTTACCTCCCCCACAGCCTCGACTCTCAGGCGGGCATCCTCACCTCCTGCTTCACAAAAATCGGAAGTGGCCAGTGGGAATTCCTGTAATTCCCCTCCCCCAGCTCGGGGCCGGGGTAGCGGCACTCCGCCTCCCATGCCCTGGCCTCCCCCGTGAGCGTCCGCTGAGCCGGTGCCGACCCTGCCCAAGGCTTCTCTCCAGCATCTGACTCAGCAAGTTCCAAACCCAGCTCCCCTGGCCACCTCCCCATCTGGGGCTCCAGTCAGTGCCTCCATCCATGCCAGGGCACGGTGACGAGCCTGGGTATCCAGCAGACCTTCCATGCCCAGCTCGTGCTGCCCTGCTGACCCCCACGCCTCTGCAGCCTGTAAGCCTCTCCTCATGCGCCCGCACGTCCCAGCAGCCCCCGGCTCACCCTCCAGGGTGCTCTAGCGTGGTGAGGTCACGCTTAGGAGGTGGCGGGGGAGGCCGTGCACTCAGCAAGCCCACTGGACTTCCGTGCCCTGGAGCCCGGCCTGGTCCTGTGCCTACCCTGTCTCCTGCCAGGAGCAGCTCCTGGCCGCAGCGACCCTTCTGAATCCTTTCCACACCCAGCCAAGGCCCTGGCACCTGGAGAGGAGCGGTCTTCTCTTTTTGTCATTTGGTTTCTATGGGTCACTTTCTGCGAGCAGGGCCAGTGTCTGCCTTTGCTCAGAGTGGCCATCCGCAGTGCTTGCGGCGGAGGAGGGCGGGAAGGGCATGTGGCTCAGTGGACGGGTCGGGGGATGTCTCCGGAGCCTCCCGCCCTCCCGCAGGTGCCCTGGGCAGGATGCTTGCGGTGCCTTGCTCCTGGACTAGTTGTTACCTAGTGACCTTCCCAGCCAGCTCTGCGGCTCAGCTGAGCTCCTGACCCTCACGTCTGGTCGAGTGGACCTGTGGCAGCAGGTGGGGTCTGGAGGAGCACCTCAGGTCTTTGTTTTGAACTTGCAGCTTCTCTGTAAGCTTGAAGTTGGTTCAAAATATAATCCCTCCGTTTGGCACGGTGGTTACCGGGAGGACCTGGGACCTTAAGGCCTCCCGGGCAGAGTGGTCGCTCTGGAGGTGTCTGTGGTGCTGCAGGCCTCAGCACCTTGAGTCGGGGGGCTACTGCCCAGAGCCGCACCTCAGGGTCCAAGGCTGACTGACAGGTCAGCGCAGAGGGCTTCTCCCAGAGGACATGGCTGCTCAGGGCCAGGGAAGGGCTGCGTCTGCATTGTGACCTCCATCTGTGCCGTTCCTCCCTCTGACCCTGCTTCTCAAAGCTCCCAGTGTGCCAGGGCCCCAGGGCTGCCATCCTGTCCCACCGCGTCTATCTGTCAGGCCGGGTACAGGGAGCCCGAAAGTGCAGCCAGTCCTAAGGCCTGAGGTGGGACTGGGGACCCTTCCCACTCCCGCTCCCTGCCTTCCTCTGTCCCCTCCCCTCCCCTCCTCCTGCACCCCAGGCCCCTGGCCAACCCTGGACTCCCCTGGCCAGGAGAAGGCAGAGACCGACCCCAGGTCACCCCCAGGTGCCAAAGGTGAGGAGGTGGGATTCATACCCAGCTTTGCTGACCACCCACGCTGCCAGGAGGCCCTCCTGTAACCAGCATGCCAAAAGGAGGGACTTTATTTGAACCAACTTCATGCTGTATTGAGAAGCTGCAAGTTCAAAACAAAGACCTGACGTGCCCCCCGCCAGACCCCACCTGCTGCTCCGGGTCCACTCGACCAGACACAATGGTCACGAGCTCAGACGGGCCCCAGAGCCCTCCAGGGGACCTGGTGCCCCCATGAGCCCCTCATCAGAACCGAGGCGGGAGGAGGGAGCCGTGACCTTGGCTCAGCCCCAGGGCCCAGTGACGGAGCCTCCCCATAGCTCTCTTTAATCAGGGACAACAGCAGCCGAGGAACCTCCCGTGCGCCCGCCGAGTGCAGGAGTCAGAGGCCCTGGCTGGGAAGGCCCCACCCCTGCCCAGCCGCCACCGAGGGCCCGGCCATCCTCCTGGCACTGTGTCCTCTCCTGGCCACTCGGCCCCGCCTGCCCCAAGGTCCTCCGCTGGGACCTCCTGTGCTGCCTCAGCCCTGCCGCCCTGGGGGCCCCTTGCCCAGCACACTCCGCCCCACAGTGGGCTCTCAGCTGTCATTCCCTCCAGGGCCTCCTGGGCCGATGGAGGCTTGAGAATGTGGCACCTCGTGCTGCTGGTCCTCTGCTTTGGGGGCCTGGGGGCCTGGTCACAAACAGGGCCAGGCCCAGGCACCTTTAGTGGGGACGCACTGTGAGCAGCCCGTGCTGGCCCCTCGGCTCCTCCCAGCCACCACTGTGCCTCATTTCTGGCTGCCTGTGTTCTCCTGGGGGTCAGCAGACAGGTGCGATTAGGTGTTTGAATGCTTGCCAAGCTGCCCTCCATCGGAGCTGTCCCCATTCACAGGCCCACATCCCCCAGCTCTGGGGGAGGTCTCTGAGTGACAGGCTCGAAGCAGCAGGGCCACCTGTGGGGCCTCCCCAGGGCCTGACCATCTCCTCTCCCGCAGGCCAGAGTGCCAGGTGTGGACGGGGACGCTGCTGCTGGGCACGTGCCTGTTGTACTGTGCCCGTGCCAGCATGCCCATCTGCACGGTCTCCATGAGCCAGGACTTTGGCTGGAACAAGAAGGAGGCCGGCATCGTGCTTAGCAGCTTCTTCTGGGGCTACTGCCTGACGCAGGTTGTGGGCGGCCACCTCGGAGACCGGTAACTGCCCCTCGTCCCCATCTCCAGGCTGGTGGGGGCTGCCCCACTGGGGCTTCTGGGGGCGAGTGGGCTGGCTCTGCTGCTGCACACGGAGGAAGCAGCTCCTGGGGAAGGAGCTCGGTGGATAAATTTGGGCAGAAGACCTACCTGGAGGAAGATGGGAGGGGAGAGGCCAGGCTCGGCAAGGCCCAGGGTCCTGGAGGCAGAGGAGGCGGGCAGCTCCCTGGGAGTACCTGGTCTCCTCAGGACGCAGCTCTGGGGTGGTGAGCAGGCCCTATAGAGGCAGACAGGCCAGGCCCAGCCCCGAGCACCCATTCGAGGGCTCCCCTGAGTCAGGGTGGTGTCCCTTGGTCCTGCACAGCCACATCCTCACCTTCCTCTGTCTCCCACTCAGGATCGGGGGTGAGAAGGTCATTCTGCTGTCGGCCTCTGCCTGGGGCTCCATCACAGCTGTCACCCCACTGCTCGCCCACCTGGGCAGTGCCCACCTGGCTTTTATGACCTTCTCACGCATCCTCATGGGCTTGCTCCAAGGTAAGGGGCGCTCAGGTGGCCCCTCACGCTCCGGCACCAGGTGGGGCAGACAAGGAACTGTGCATGGATGTCTGTGTAGGTGCACGTGTGCCTGCAGGCGGTGTGCAAGTGTGTGTGTATAGGCATGCCCCTGTGCATGTGTACACCTGTGTGGGTGCATGTGTGTGTGTGCACGTGTGCATGCAGGCAGTGTGTGCATGCGTGTGGATGCCCGTTTGCATGTATACGTGTGTGTGCCCATATGCATGTGTGCATGTGTGTGCCCGTATGCATGTGTGCATGCCCATATGCGTGTACATGTGTATGTGCTCGTGTGCATGTGTGTGTGCCCGTATACATGTGTGCCTGCATGTGTGCCTGTATGCACATGTGTGCATGCCCATATGCATGTGTACATGTGTATGTGCTCTTGTGCATGTGTGTGCATTTGTATGCATGTGTGCATGCATGTGGGTGCCCATATGATGTGTGCATATATGTGGGTGCCCGTACACATGTGTGCACATGTGTGCATGCTCATATGCATGTGCATGTGTGTGTGTGCTCATGTGCATGTGTGTGCACCTGTATGCATGTGTGCATGCGTGTGGGTGCCTATATGACATGTGCATGTTTGCCTGCGTGTGTGCCTGTATGCACGTGTGTGCATGCCCATATGCATGTATACATGTGTGTGCTCATGTGCATGTGTGTGTGCCTGTATGCATGTGTGCATGCGTGTGGGTGCCCATATGATGTGTGCATGTGTGCGGGTGCTCGTATGCATGTGTTCATGTGCGTGGGTACTCATATGCATGTGTGCATGTGTGTTGGTGCCTGTGTGACCATCCAGGTGCCTTCTGTGAGTGCACACTCCCTCTGCAGTGACACACAGGATCACCGCGTGGTGAATCGAGCTCTGTCAGCAACACCCGAGTTCAGTGGTGGAGTCCCGCTTCGAGGACCCTGCTGTGGGACTTTGGGTTTTGTGCATTTTGGCCACACATATGCTGACGATGCCTCCCATACTAGGGCCTTGGAGCTCCTTGTCAGGAAAACAAGGTGGGTGGGGTCCCAGGGTGCTTTCTGGGGTGGTCCCTGCTTGGCTGGGGTCTGCTGGAGAAGGAGTGAGGCCTCCAGCCTGCAGGGCCTGCCCACCCACCCCAGCCTGCCTGGCCACCTCATCCATCAGTAGTTCCTGGGCCAGGCCAGTCCTCCCCCAGTGTCCTGGGCCATCCAGACCCCCTCTTAGGGCTCCCCCTACCTTCCTGATCAGGCATGAGGTTCGGGGCCCTGGCCATGGCTCCCCTAGAACCTCTGTCCCCCCACCCCTGTCTCCTCCAAGTCCAGAGACTTTGGGGAGTTCACTCCCTCTCCACACTCTCACTCCCTGAGGTCATGGCCTGGAGGGTGCTGCCTGGGACTCTCTCCATAGCAGAGGACGGGGTTCTGCCCAGGACGGAGGCCACTGTCATGGTCACAGATATCACATGAGAGCTAAGGCCCCACCACCAGTGCCCACCCAGCCCGTGCATGGCCCACCATTAGAAGAGGGTGCCGTGAGTGTGAGGACTTAGGATTGTGTGTTTCCTGGGGGGCCCCCTCCCAGAGCTAGCCCCTCCAGCATCACTGCCTCCCCAGGCACTGCCCCGGGCCCCTCCGGGGAGGAGTTGGAGGAGGAGGAGGAGAGGGGTGAATGCATCAGCAACCACCGGAAGGGTGGACAGGCCTGTGGGGGTGGGGTGGACGGGCCTGTGGGGGCGGGGGCTCATCTTTGTTTACTGGAGGGTCTTCAGGGTGAGGGAGGCAGGTCCTGGGGCTGAAGCTGTGTAGAAAACAGCAGCACTGCCTCAGACCGGGCTGACTAATGCCTCCCAGGGGTCGCTGAGAAGGCCCTTGGCTCTGGGCAGGTGGCTGTCCTCGCGAGTAGCTCTAGGGACCCAGCAGGGCAGCCAGACCCCGCGGGCTCGTGCCAGCTCCGGCCGGGCTTCCTCTGTGGGGCCAGCTTGTACTATGATGACTTGGCACCTGAGGGACATTCTGTTTTCTAGCAACCTTCAAAGTCTGGCACGTCTCAATGTCAGGTGTCATCCTGTGCCCACGAGTCTACTCTGGGGGTCTGGGGGCCGCATGGTGGCTGCGTGGTAACCGTGGGCATCCCCTGCGGCTGGCACGCGTATGTGCACGCTGTCCTCGGGCAGAGCAGAGACGCCGGGGGTCCCAAGACCCGTGGCTCTCACTGTGGGGGCATCAGACTTCTGGAGGGAGCCCCACGGAGCTCCAGCAGGCGGCCCCCAGCCTCCCCCCAGGGAGCCAGGAAATGGACCTGCCTCTGAGCTGTGAGCCCATGAGCTGGCGCTCTGAGATAAAAAGTCACAGGCGCTGTCCAGGCAGGCACTTCCCGCGTGTGGCCAGCTGTTTCCAGCGACCTGTAGACAGGGGCCATGGTTGTCACGGTGGCTCTGTGGTGCCTTCCCTCACAGAGCCCCTCCAGGCCGGGCTCCAGAGCCCTGTGAATGTGGGGTTACATGGAGTTGTAAGGCAGTTTCCAACTTTTTGGTTTTTGAGACAGTCTTGCTGTGTTGCCCAGGCTGGAGTGCAATGGCGTGATCTCTACTCACCGCAACCTCCACCTAGTGGGTTTAAGTGATCCTCCTGCCTCAGCCTCTTGAGTAGCTGGGACTACACACCACCACACTCGGCTAATTGTTTGCGTTTTTAGAAGAGACGGGTTTCACTGTGTTGGCCAGGATGGCCTTGGTCTTCTGACCTTGTGATCCACCTGCCTCAACCTCCCAAAGTGCTGGAATTATAGGCAAGAGTCACTGCACACAGCCTCCAGACTTTTAAAGCGGCTGGAGAA